GGGGTGCAGCCACTAGCTCGGCCCTGGGGACGTGGGCCTCAGTCCTGTTCCCACAGTGGTGCTGGAGCGCTGACCTCCGCCAGGGGCCATTCGCAGTTCTAGAGGTGCCGGCCCAGCTGCCCTCCTCCCCAGGCCCTGCACCGGGCTGCACGTGGAGCTGGGAGCCCAGGGCCCGCCCGGCCGGCCTGGCCAGGCTCCGAGGACTGCACCTGCTCCCTTACCGTTATCTCCTGCTCTTTGCCCAGGCACAGGGCGGGCTCTCGCCATGGGCCACTGTCGCCTCTGCCACGGGAGGTTCTCCTCCAGGAGTCTCCGCAGCATCGCTGACAGGGCGCCCGGGGAGAGCGCGGAGAGACTGTCCCCAGGGGAGCGCGTGTTCGTCAGGGACTTCCAGCGCCTCCTCGGGGTGGCGGTGCACCAGGACCCAGCGTTGTCGCAGTTCGTCTGCAAGAACTGCCATGCCCAGTTCTACCAGTGCCACGGCCTCCTCAAGTCCTTCCTGCAGAGGGTCAACGTGTCCCCGAGACCCCCGCCGCAAGGTAGGCCCACTTGTTAGTTTGGGGGGGGGGGGCCGCCCCCTGCCTCTGCCGCTGCTGTTTTGGGGACTGGAGCACCTCACCGGGCCCTCCGCAGTGGGCAGCAGGGCCGCGCCTGGCCTGGCAGCTGCCAGTGTGGGCACCCCAGCACTGCCTGAGGTGTTGGGGGGGCTGAGGCTGAGCACAGCCATTGGAAGGGAAGGGGTGGGCTGGAGAGGGGAGGGTGGGCTGGAGAGGGCTCCCAGGAGAGGTCCCGCCTGCCATCCGCTCATGCTCGCTGATACTTCGCAGGGTCGGCGCCCACCCCACCCCAGGGGCAGCCGAGGGAGCGTGTCTGGGTAAGTTGCACCTTGCCGGAGTGGGCTCTGGGGGTTGGGCTGGGCAGTGACCATTCACTGACGTCTCCGCTGCCCCTTCTCAGTGGACCTGATCCCGGCGAGCCCCCAGGGCCTGCGTGGCTTGGTGGGGTGGGTGCACGGACACGCAGCCGACTGTGGGGCCCTGCCCAGCCTCCAGAGGACGCTGTCTTCCGAGTACTGTGGCGTCATTCAGGCCGTGTGGGGCTGCGACCAGGGCCACGGTTACACCATGGACGCCGACTCCAGCTGCAGGCCCCTCTTGCTGGACAGCCCGTTGGCCAAGTGGGTGTGGGACGAGGAGATGATGCCACTACTCACCCAGCACCAGGGGTCCAGCCCCTCTAGGGCCACCCCTCAACCCTCCCAGGGCCGAGGAGCCACAGCCAGGGCCGAGAGCAAGATCCCACCCAGCATGGATGTGGTCCAGCCTCCTTCAGAGGGCAGCCCTGCAGGGCCAGGGCCAGGCCCCCCACCTCAGCCACACCTGCCCCCCAGTGGGGCCCCAGGTAGGAGACCACTGGCCTAGGCTAGAACAGGCCTCCTGAGCTCCGCAGGGGGTT